CTTTTTCCAAAAAATGTTCATCGGAAGATACAAAGACCTTGTTGATAAATATTCCGTTTCAACTTCTAAAATAAAACATTATGGTCTAGAAGAATAGATTCGAGGTACTGACGTTGTTTATCATCTTAAGTACGTATTATAGTGTTCTTTTTATTTGTCTTTGTATAATACTAACCTTTACTGTTTATTCCATTTTTGGTAATATCCTTTTGGCGTTGCTCGGTATTTATACATCCCGCCATTGTGGTCGTTTTTTGTATTTTTGTCTTTCATTTTGCTTATGTGTTTTGTCTACAGCGTTTCTATATGCCATTTTTTTTTCTTGGTTGAAATAGTTATATGTTTTTATAATGACATTTTTATTTTGTCTGTTTATTTTGCTCACACATGGTTGTCAATATAATTAAATTCTATGCGACTGTCGTACAAGTAAGAGGATTTAGCGAGCTACAAAACCAGGTCTAACCCACCATTTTCTTCGGAAAATGTCTGTACCATGTCAGGAATATTGCAGTTGTTTTTCACTTGTTCTGTTGATTGATAGCGTTTTATTTTGTCAGAGTTTATAACTTCCCCTTTTATGAATTCTCCTTGGAGCTCAGTATTTGTTTTGTTTTACTTCTTTTGTGTCAATATAACGGAACTATCAACACTTATCGTACGGTGACCTATAGTTGTTAATTTCTGTGTCTTTTGGTCTCTTGTGGAGAGTTGTCTCATTGGCAATCATACCACTTCTTCTTTTTTATATCAATACTTCTCATACAAGTATGAGGTTCAGCATGCTATAAACCCAGGTCTTCAACATAAGGAAATGTCTTTACCAAGTCAGAAATATAACAGTTGATTTCCATTCGTTTGATGTGTTTGAGCTTTTGTTTTTGCCATTTGATAAAGGCCTCCCGTTTTGAATTTTCCATCGAGTTCAGTATTTTTGTTATTTTACTTTTTCCCATTGCAATCGTGAATATGACTATGTGTATTCATCCAAAAAAAAATCTCGATGTTTATATCTGCAAACAATATAAAATGATTGCTTCAAATAACAGCCCTTAACGACTGCATGTTTGATTTAATTCCAAGTATACACTATATAACTAATTCTACTTTTTTTCCTGTAGATTATATTGCTTTATCATTATGTATTCTAATATATTTTATTTTGTACAAAACTCTTGCATAATTTCGTTTTCCAATCATTAACATAAAGTACTTGTTGTAAGTCAAGCATGGCAGATTTCGGTCATTAATTCAACGTGTTACTTTACCGACATGTAACAATCTGAAATATATTTAACGGTCTGTAACCCTGAACAACATTTTACGAATCAACACATCCCATTGGTTAATCTAAAAATAAACAAGGAAGTTCAGCCGGGGACATTTACAAGGTTAAAAAAATATTTACAATAAAGTTTTGGGTCAAAGCACACAGCATATATGAAGTCGCATTCATTGTATTGTATTATAATGAGAATAATTTTGTGTATTAAAAAGTTCTTCAGAGCGACAAAACACACATCATTTTGCCCTACCTAATATGCAAATCAACTTAAGGACAAAAAGGTCAAAGACCTTTCATATGAGTCTTAATGCAAGTACGATTGTTAATGGGAATATATCCACAAGAGTTCAAATAAAGGCGTATAAGTACTTATAGGTCACAATAAGGCCTTCAAAAATGACAAAATCCATACCGTATAGTCGGTTATAAAATTGCTTTGTTTTGTTTTAAATTTCAGATTGCAGTACCTGTTTATTTTAGGAGTTTTCGATATTTCCTGTAAATACGGATATGCATTGCTAGTATCTTGTACAGATAAACCAAGAGAATTAAGTCTGATGTTTAGTTGTAACATTAAGTAAATATACGTTTTCTTTAAAAGATAAAAAAAATAGTTTGCAAACTTATATAAATAGTCTGCATTGAGATCAAAAATTAATAACACAATTTATTTTCATATATCATCAAAAACATATATGTATTTTTGCATAACAACAAAATCAAAATAAGAATATAAATATTAATTGTTCCTTGCAACTAACAGACCTTGCAGTATGATTTGATAACACAGTAACAAAATGAAATTAAAAATTAACTATATGCATTGGGTGGGGTCCTTCTTTTCTCTATTCTTTAAATTTCTAGACCATTTTCTCTATTCTTTTATTTATTTATCCATTATTCTTTATTCTTTATATTTCACCACTCCATTATTCACATTATTTTTTGCCTGTTTTTCTCTATTCTTTTATTTATTTATCCATTATGCTCCATTCTTTATATTTCACTACTTCATTAGTCTCTATTATTTTTTGCCTGTTTTTCTCTATTCTTTATTTTCTTGCCTTTTTTTCTCTATTCTATTATTCTCTATTCCTTTTTTGTTTTTGCCTTTTGTTATTTGTTTTTTGCCCACTATTCTTTATTCTGAAAACACCACCCACACCATCATTTATCTATAGATATTTACACCAAAATGTTTTAAATGTCACTTGATATCCTACATGTTTTATGCTTTACAATAAGATACGATCAAATTACTGAAAGACTCCATCCTTAATTATTGAAATTTATTGTGGGAGGTATCTTCTACTTATACATCTCTTAATGATCAAATGAGTTGTATTCAAGTCTGAAAACAGACCGATAAAACACGTTACAATAACCATTGTAAATATCAACTGACATTTAGGCATTTATTAATAGTATCACATAAATATAATAGATGCTGGACAGCTTATAAATGAATCTGAATATACCTTAAACACTTTGATGTGCAAATTTGTACATTTTCAAATATCGTTATTCCGTATGTACAATACTCTTAAAAGATATTATATCCGTGGATATATTACTACTTATTTTTCCTGTACTTCTGGAGTCTGTATGAGAGTCTGAATGGAGTTTACGCAATAATATGTCAATACTACAGAAAATTGGCGAAGCAAATAAAGAATGGAGAAAAATAGGTAAACAAAATTAAGAATAGAGAATAATGTGTGCTAAATTATAAAGGAAAGAGAATGGTGGGCAAAATTTAAAAAAGAATAGAGAAAAAAGTTTTAAACAATGAAAGAATACAGAATTGATGGACCTCCATGCAGACTTTTCTGTGATGTATTGTAAAGCATGGTGTAGACGCCAATCAATTAAAATAATTTTAAAATAATATACAAATCGCAAAAGCAGTACCGAATATACAAGATAAACGCTTTGATAATGTATTCAAAATAAAGTAGTGACGGTTATGTTGCTACCCCTCCAGACTTATTGTTGTTTGGTTGATTTGTATATTCCGTTTAGATCTAATTTACTTAAAGTCTCCATTATTTTATGCAATTGTCCTTGTAAAAAGAAGGCGGGGCTAACGAGGGATTTATCAAATCCCATAAGTTGTAGAAAAAAGAGACAAAATTATAGCCAAATAGAGAAAAAACAATACATAAAACATTACACAGTCACTTACAAAATCAACACCAATACAATATCAGATGAACTGAAGAGTTATGGAAGTTTTAGCAGTTCTAGCCAAGTCAGGGGCCTGTAAATCAGGTGTCGTTTGTTGCTGTGTAACATATTCGTTTTCCGTTCATTATTTTGTACATAAATTAGGCCGTTTGTTTTCTCGTTTGAATTGTTTTACATTTGTCATTTCGGGGCCTTTCATAGCTGTATATGTGGTATGAGCTTTGTTCATTGTTGAAGGCCGTACGGTGACCTACTTGTTAATTTCTGTGTCATTGGGTCTCTTGTGGAGAGTTATCACATTGGCAATCATACCACATCTTATTTATAAAAATATAAAACATTATGTTGGTCATCACATAAGGGCACGATGAAATTAAAATAATTCAAGTGGAAGTACGAAGAAGAAGAAAGGAAATGGTTTATAACTGCTTTAAATCTAAACAAAAAATTTCTTCTGAAATTAAATAAAAAGGATATTTCATTTTATATATGTATACATATTATTCTTATATCTGCTTCTTTCAATATCAGTTCTCTATGCAGTTATTATGGATTTTTTTCAGATAATTTGCAATGTTAAAAAAAAAACTTTTTAGTTTGCCTTTTTTAATTCTTCTATTCTATGATCTTAGTAACTTTTAAACTTTTGTTGAGGGACTTGTGTAATACATCAAAATGAAAAAGGAAAATAAAGCCGACTTTTGACCCATTCTCTTTTAAATGCTCTCTGTTTTATATATCAATTCATCAAAAAGCATATTACATTAGTTTTGAAAAGAAAATATACATTGTTTTCGAAAGTTGCCAAATAAGTTCAAATTGTTATATATATATATATATATATATATATATATAATTTTGCAAAAAAAAAAAATAATATGATTTTATTTAAGAAAACTGCCAGATCTGTTCAATTTGCATCACCTGGGGTGTTTCTATATTTTGACATAGCCATTACCTTCAAAGATACTTTGAGATAAGATGTTTTAAACCTAGACATTGTTACGAATTACATATAAATTTTTGAGAAGGCTGCTTCTCATATGTCATGTCATCTAAATTTTTAAAATAACTTCCTTTGCAAATAATGTTAAAAAGAAACAGAATTTAAAGTGGAGATTTAAAACTCGAGATAAACTGACAACACTATGGCAAAACGAGGGGCGATAAAAAGACAAATAATCCACAGAACGTTACATAGAAAACTAAAGACTCAATTAGAACATATTCGTGGTCATCTGTGACAATAATATCTCATAACGGTCAACCAGCTTGGGATGGTGCCCGTAAAACATTTACTTTACCACTTGTAATCCTTCAGCTAATCGTGACACAATTATGTCTTCGATGTGGTGTCCACACCATATCAGACTTTGAATTTATACTGCAATTTCAGAAGCAACATACATTTATATTATCCGCTTTATTTTCTTTTAAGATACATACACACTGTTTATATAATCAATATGTAAAAGATTTGATACGTTTGTGACGTTAAGCTTGAAGCATATATACCTTTACTGTACTCACATAGCTATGCGAAATACATTCATACATCGCTAATGAAAAATATTTATCATCAGTAGCCAATATTCTCTATTTTAGTTTGTCTGTAATCAAGGCTAACCCAGCATAATCTATTAATAGGATTTCAGTACAGAATCAATGTTCCGATTACGCGCCAACCAGGTCAAGTCGACATTTATATTTATAGATCAGGGCAACGACCGTCAACAGATGGAACGTTTACGAAGACGGTAGGTCTATTTACATATTGCAATATGATTCTAAAGAAAGTTAAATTACTAATTAATAGGAAATAGACAATACATATAGAGTATTATATAAAATATAACTTTAGAAGTTGAAAAGACTCCATATTAACTGTGTTATAATTAAATGCATAGTTGATTTGAGAAAAAAATCAGATATATCCCAAATTTGTTGTGCTGGTTTCATTATTTAATCATTTGCTTCCAAAATCTTTTTCCTATTCTGTACTTCAACTATCATAGACATTATAATTTTTCTTTTTGTAAATCATAAATTTAGTTTAGTTTTGTTTAAATTGTAGTGAAATAGCAAAGAAAATTATAATTAGATAGTTATATAATTGACAGGATTAACACTTATAGTTTTATATTGTTTAAATTTTTTTTCAAATTTATTTCTTTTGTTCATTACTAAGAAATAAAGACATGTGACCTGCTTATATATGTGGACATGTAAGTAATCTTGAACTTATATCAGGTGTATTCAAAAACAGTATTTTTTCATTATAATAATTGGAAATTTTATACATGAAAAATATTTATTCTTTTTTAGTGCCAGCAAATTGCTGCCATTAAAAAAAATATATTAAATATTTTTAGTAAAGTACAATTAGACAAGATGCAATTACAAGCAAAGCAATTCGCCATTTTTGTTTTTATTTATTTCTGTGTCGGTTTAGTTACCTGAAAAAAATATTTCTTAGAAATGTAATGGCATCCGTGGCGAATTTAATGATCTTTTTTAAAGAGATGCATTTTTTTGTTTTTCAATTCTAATTATGTTGGAATTTGTAAATAAGCTACATGTATTAAAATGGTGATTACAAATGAATACAATTAAGTGCTCTAAGGGTGCCATTCGGGACTGACCTTGATTCAATTTGTGTAAAAATAAATTCAATTTTTGTTTTTGTTAGTACCAAGAATTTATTAAATGTGACCTGACCTGTAGACTTAAATCAAGTGTATGCAAACACAAATTTATGTCACTATAGTATCTTGATTATATTCAAAATAATTAAATTAGAAACAATCATAAACTATGACCGCTACAATTTTATATTTGATATTAAAGAACAGTTGCACTTGAGTTTATATCAAACATACGTATTTGTCTTGTTTGTTTTCATATATTTTCTTTTTTTGGTAAATCATCGTGAAATAATAGATAAAAAAATATGATGATATAAACATCATTATTTCTCGTTCCGTTAATTGATAACATTTGATTCTGTCAGTTTCTATGGACTTCCCCCTTTTTGGAATTTACCTTGGAGTTCGGTATTTTTGTTATATTCATTACGTTATGTTATAGATTTGGAATGATGACAAATTCGTCGGCAATTAGTTGTTTTAAAACGTCATTATTATTATCTTTAAAATCTAAGCTGACTTCTTTCTTCTACAAATAATAAACAAAGCACATGAAATATATGCAGTCTTAATAAATTAGAGCTGAGGACAGGGGACTTTTAGTTTTTTTTTTTTTTGGCTTGTGTGTATATATATATATATATATATATATATATATATATATGTATTCAATCAGTTTATTTTTTGTTGTTGTCATTATTTGTATTATGTCACATGTTTTCCTATATATAACAATAAAGAATTATATCATCAATAATATTAATTGAAGGACATATAAAAGAATTGTAATGTAATGAAATGCGACAATTTAAGAACACATTTTGTATCAAGTTCGAACAAGTTACCTAATTGATTGTATTTGTCAATATACAATCATAACATATTTGAGGATCTGGATGGGGCTTTATAGAATAGAGAATAATAGGCGAAAATTAAAGAATAGAGAAAAAATAAACCAGAGAATAATGGGGTGCTAACATATAAAGAAAAGAGAATAATGGGCAAAAAGTATAAAGAATACATAAAATTTACCCAAGAAAATAACGAATACAGAAATGAAGAACCCCACATCCAGACCCTTATAGTTGAAAACATTGTATACTATGCAAACAGTTAATACAAAGGAAATAAACAATAATGAGAATGCACAACTAAGGTATCTTTTTACTGTGGCACATTCTATTCAGTAATATGGCAGTTGTTATCAAATAGTCCGTTTCTAGGTATGTTGGCGTTTGATTTTGTTGCAGTTCAGTGTTTCTGTTGTTCCGTTGTTTTCCTCTTATAGTTGATGTGTTTCCCTCGGTTTTAGTTTGTAACCCGGATTTGTTTTCTCTTAATCGATTTGTGACTTTTGAACAGCGGTAAACTACTGTTGCCTTTATTTATTCCTTTATAAGTCTCTCTGCTCTTTTGCTTATTTAATTGTTGTTCTTTCACTATGACATATAATAATATAAGTAGTAAAAAACTATTTTCATTATTGAAATATATTTACTTCAGATAACAAGTCCTCTCCATTCAGTAAGTTAATAGTAATACATTTATATTTCAATATTGTGTCAATCGATATGTACATATGTTGGTAACATAATAATAGAATACGTGGAACAAATGATGATACGGGTTTTTGTTTGCACCAGGTATTTTCTTGAAATAATTTTCAACAAGTACGATTGTAGGAAAAAAGATTGGAAAGACAAATATATCAAACAACTGAATTCAAATTTGTTTTATAATCATGAATATAATCAGTTGATTCAATATGCTGAAAGCGTTTATGTAAAAAATCAATGCTAGTTTACATAAATAAGGTAAGCATATTGTTTAGAATACTGTGTTTTATATACTTCACAGTTATGCATCGATTCCAGACCATAGTTTTGCATCTTTCCTTAAACAACTAATTTCTAAATGGTTAAATGTAACTAATAAAAGTCACCGAACTGTCATATAGGAAAGCATGTCTCACACTAATGTCTTATCAATGAATAAACAAGGTGCAATTTCAAATACTGCGGATTCATTATTATTCGTTGGATACCACTTTTAGTGGATTTCGTGAGTAAAGGTGATCCACGAATTTATTTGTTAAACAAAATAGACATTTTCTATAGGCTTGTATGCAGACTTCGGCTAAACAACGAAATCAAATATCCACGAAAATAACTTTCCGTCGCTGAATGAAAATTGGTACACAAGAAAACAAATGAATCAACAGTATGGCATCAAATAAACAAATTGGAGTAATACAATTTGTAACTTATTTTAGATCAAATCGATTTTAGAGAGTTTGGTCACTGTTTCGTTAATAAGTAGGTTAAAACACTCAAATAACTTCCAATACATTTGTGAGAGTTATCTCCCATACCCAAGGTCTACCCCTTAGACATATATAACCAATCCGTTGACGTTTGGGTAGTAAAACTAGTACCGTTTATGCAATTGACTATATTTGGGTTTAATGCTGTTTTATTTGTGTGTGTTTTACTTCCTATCCATGGATTTGAGCGTACCTGTCGAAGGTCTGTGGTTTTCCCCTGATTTCTCCATAAAAAAAAGCCAACCGCCACGATATGGCGAAGAATGCTAAAAAGTGTGTTAAACACGACAATCAGTTGCATTGGAGCGTACCTACTGATGCATATGTCATTTGCATTGGAGCGTACCTACTGATACATATGTCATTTGCATTGAAAACAACATTAAACGTTAATATTTACAGAGAAACAAAACTTTGTTTCTTTCCTTTCAACAAATTACATGCAAAAGAGACAGCAGTTGTTGTTGTTTTTCACACATATAACTAATATTCGAATATGTATACAGGTGTCGATGAAAACATTAAGAAACAACCTGAATCAATTTTGTTGTTTTATTGAATTATATGCATCTAAAATAATAACAACAATACATATATAATTCCTTATACGGTAGAATTCTTTATTTTTATGGTTAAAGAATTTCATGGATTGAGGAAAAATTGCAATTTCATAGATAGTTGTTTTCGTTATTTTGACAAAGTCTGCAATAAAGACAACAGTAGTATACCGCTGTTCAAAAGTCATAAATCGATTAGGAGAAAACAAATCCGGGTTACAAACTTAAACCGAGGGAGACACATCAATTATAAGAGGAAAACAAGACTATAGAAAATGTGAATTTAGTTGAATATCTTAATTCCTTGGTCACTTTTAATCACGAAATCCACGAAAAGTGGTATCTCACGAATAATAACGAATCCACAGTATCAAATATATCATTATATTATATTTATGTAGTGGACAAAAATGCATGAAGTGAATTGCCTAAAATATATGCTGCTATGAATCACGATCAATCTTAAACAAATTATGTTTCCAAATTTTAATCCTATCAATATATTTCCATTATAATTACATATGATCAAAAACAAACATTTCATTGGATACTTATACTGATAAATGTCATGTATCTTGTAAAAGCAGCCACCTGTTACAATTGTGTTGTTGTTAACATAAGTGAAAGTTTAAGCTATTCAACAGTCTATAGTTAGCGATAGACAATTTATCAAGTTTCCCAATTTGTATTTATATAAAATTGAGAATGGAAATGGGGAATGTGTCAAAGAGACAACGACCCGATCATAGAGCAGACAACAGCCGAAGGCCACCAATGGGTCTTCAATGCAGCGAGAAACTCCCGCACCCGGAGGCGTCCTTCAGCTGGCCCCTAAACAAATATGTATACTAGTTCAGTGATAATGGACGTCATACTAAACTCCAAATTAAACACAGGAAACTAAAATTATAAATGATATAAGACTAACAAAGGCCAGAGGCTCCTGACTTGGGACAGGCACAAAAATGCGGCGGGGTTAAGCATGTTTTTTGAGATCTCAACCCTCCCCCTATACCTCTAGCCAATGTAGTAAAAACAAACGCACAACAGTACGCACAGTAAAACTGGTTTTAGAACAAATGTGTTTAATTCCGATGCAAAGACCCTATAAGTGAATCAATATTAAAGCCAAAATATGCAATCTTTAATGACCTGACAACAGTATCGTAACTATATCCCTTCTTAATAAGTCTATTTAAAGGTTTTGTTAGCTTTTGAGGTGAATACTGACA